CAGCTGTGTCTGTGGCAGGAGATGCAGCCGCTGCGGCTCTTCCCCCAGCCCAGCCATGCCTCGCGCACCAGCCCTGTCAGACACAGCAAACGCGTCATCAGCGTCTCCTCCATCGAGGACCATAAGGAGAGCTCTGGGAGGCAGCCAGATGCCAGCGCCAAGGACCTGGGTAAGGGTTGCCCTGGCTCAGGGAGGGGAACGCAGCAGCTGTGCTCCCCCTCAGAGCAACTGAGCTGGGCATGGACCGGACAGGGGTGAAAGAAGTCAAGGGTGCAGAAGGGCTCAGTACGGGGTGCTGCGCTGCAGGGAGTGGGGTGGAGGCTTGGTAGGGGGCACGCTATGCTGCCTGTTCCTGGCACTCCCCTTGCATGGAACTGGTCCACACCTTCCATATGCCACGACAGCTGTGGAGTGGCTCTCGTCACCAATCCTGCCCCTGGAGGTGGCCTGGCTACAGGGTCCGACCCAGGGCAGGGGAGGCTCTGGACTCCGTGTGCTCGCTGTGTGTAACGGGAAGTGTGTGTCACCCTCACAGCTGATCAGCTCAAGCTGGGGACCCTGGAGCACTCTGCAGTGCCACTGCTGAGCCGCTGCATCTCCATGCCAGTTGATATCTCAGGTAAGTGGAATTCCCCCAGGATGGGACCAGGTTGGGGATGGGACCCATGGGATCCTGGGGCAGCAGTCGATGGTGGGGAAACTCCTGGCACCCGCCCTGCCCTGCTGTAGGGTGGGGTTGCTGCCTGGCCAATGGGAATGGTGGTTGCTGCCCCAATTGAGCTGGGGAGGGGTTAGACTGCAGAAAGCAGGCTCGGGGCACTCTGGGGTTTGGAACCAACCGGGGAGAGCCCAGAGGCCACAGGTGCCAAGGGAGCAGGGGGCAGGCGGAGGGTATGAGACATGCCTCCAGGACGTGGGCGTCCTAGGGAATGGCAGTGAAAGAAGGTCGAGGGGGAAGTGCTGGGCTAAGCTGGGTCCTTGTTGACTGAGGCGCTGAGCAGCCTGGCCTGGACAGAGACCTCTGTGGTGCTGGCTGTGTTGGGCACCCGGTGGGGAGGGGCGGGCAGCCTGGCTCTGCAGTGAGCGCTGCCCCTGGCTTCTTTCCTGCACAGGCCTCCAGAAGGGCCCTCGCTCAGACTTCGACATGGCCTACGAGCGCGGCAGGATCTCGGTGTCACTGCAGGAGGAGAGCACCGGCACCATGGCCTCCTTCTCCCGGGTAGGTCCCCTGCACGCACCTCTCTGACTGGGCCAGCGCTTGGTGCCCTCCAACCAGCTGCAGAGCTGGGGCTGCTCCCTCCCAAGGCGCAAGGTGCCCAGTGGGGCCTGGTGTGGGGCAGAGGCTCCTCACAAAGGGGTGTGAAGGCGCACTGCCCGCTGGGGGATGGGGCCGGCCTGTGCTCTGTCACACTCCCTTGTCCAGGACAGCACAGAGCTGGCCGTCAGGCAGCAGGTGGGCAATTCTGTGGCTAGCAAAAACAGCCTGGGCATGCCCACATAGAAGCATGGGGGTTTGGCAGCCGGGCACAGAGTAGGAGTGGCGGGAGGGGGGGCTGAAGCGGGGTTGGCAGCTGGCAAAGGCCCAGGCAGAACTGAGTCACTGCAAGGGATGGGGAGGTGCCGTCTGGGCAGTGGCAGGGGGCAGAGCCAGAGGCTGTGGCAGGGCGACCCTGCCACGCTCTGAGTGTCCACCCCCGTCTCTGCAGTCTGTCTCCCAGGAGCCCAAGGAGCGCAGGTCAGTGATGGTGGAGGAGCAGCCACCCGGTACTTATCACTTCAACTACTGCGAGGACGACTCAGCAGGCGGTGCCTGCCCCTTTGGGCCTTACCAGGGCCGCCAGACCAGCGCCATCTTCGAGGCTGCCAAGCGGGAGCTGGTGAAGCTCATGAAGATCGAGGTGAAGGGGCAGTGAGGGGCACAGCCACAGGGGGGCAGGGCAGGGTGGACTCCCAGGGTCTGGTGAGGGCAGGGCCGGGTGAGTCCCCGGGCTGTGCCTGGGGGATTGGGGGGGTGGGGAGGGTCGGGTGAGTCCCCGGGCTGTGCCTGGGGGATTGGGGGTGGGGAGGGCCGGGTGAGTCCCCGGGCTGTGCCTGGGAGCTCCAGCTGCCCTTAGGGAGTCTGGGGTTATTCTGGCTCTGGAGGCCGTGCCTGGGGGACTCCTCATGCCGTCGGTTCTCCCTCTTCCAGAGCCATAGGTCAGCCAGGCTGTGGCCAGTCCTGCTCTGAGCTGCACATCCGCTGCCTCCCAGCTTGGCCTTGGGCGGTTCCAGTGCACAGGCTCCGCGGAAGAGCTGGGCTGGGATGTTTGGTTCCTGGAGTCTTGGCCCTCGGGGGAGGAGGGGTGGCCCAGGGTGGGATGGACAGATGGGCTCCCAGGTGGGGAGGGCTGAGCTGCCCTGTCTGTGGTTGGAGGGGCTGGCCAATCCATCAGCCAGCACAGGGGCAGGGAAGGACTGGAGGGGAGGCCCCAGCATGGAGGGCAGCTCTGTGCAGCTCCCAGTTGGTGCAGCAGGGCTCAGCACTGCTAGGGCCCTGCCTGCAAGCCTCTCCGCCCCCATTACTGGGTGCTCTGCCTGGTCCCTCACTGCTGCTCTCCCCACAGGACCCCTCACTTCTCAACAACCGGGTGCTACTGCACCACGCCAAGGCCGGGACAGTCATCGCCCGCCAGGGGGACCAGGTAGGTGCCAGGGGAGTGCCAGTGCCCAGCAGCCATAGGGTGACACTGGTAGCAGGTGCTCTGAGCTGGTGCTGCTGTTGTCTCTTGCCAGCTTGGGGCTGGTCCCCACTGCCCTGCGGCAGCCCCAGTGTGGAGTGGGCAGGCCGTGCTGCCTGCTGGGGTGAGGGCACTTCACCCACTCTGCACTGGTGGTGATGGCTGCATGAGGAGCAGGGCAGTGGGGCTGCCAAGCTGCCTGGAGTGGCTCACGAACGTGTGTGCCAACCTCAGGGCAGACTGTACAAACCAGGGCACAAACCCCAAACTGGCTATGTGCTCTGTAAAGATTTCACCAAGTAACAAGCGTGAACTCCTAAAGCACTATAACAGCCTTAACATGGAGTCACAGGCAGTCCCCGGGGGCACCTGGATCTAGCTTGCCACCCAGGCAAGCCGGTCTTTGTGATAGATGAGCCCTTACACCAGGAACCACAGCAGTACTCAGGTTACTCCCTGACCCAACGGACTACTCACTTACCCCCCGTCAATTCTACAGTAACTCCTCACTTAACGCTGTAGTTATGTTCCTGAAAAATGCGACTTTAAGTGAAACGATGTTAAACAAATCCAATTTTCCCATAAGATTTAATGTAAATGTGGGGGGTTAGGTTCCAAGGAATTTTTGGGGGGGCAGACAAAAGGCATTATGTACTGTGGTGGGGAGGTGCCCTGACTTACCCCTGGGGCTCAGGGCTGAGGGTGCGGGGTCTGGGAGGGAGTTAGGGTGCGGGAGGGCGCTCAGGGTGGGGGTGCGGGAGGAGGCTCAGGGCTGGGGCAGGCAGGAGGTGCAGAGCACTTACCTGGGGCAGCTCCTGTTTGGTGCAGGGGGTGTGCAGGTGGCTCTGAACAGCATGGCCGGAGGACTCAGGAGGAGCAGGGGCAGCTGTGCAGCCAGCGGCCGGAGAGAAGCGGCGCTTTCCCCTTCTCTCCGACCAGCTTTGAAGGGGAAAGCGCCGCTTCTCTCCGGCTGCTCGGCTGCCCCTGCTCCTCCTGAGTCCTCCGACCCGTGCTCGCATTCCGAAAGGGGCTTTAGAGCTGCAGGCCAGGGCCCCCTTAGCCCAGGGCCCTGCAGCCCCTAAAGCCCATGCATTCTGGGTGGCCCTGTCTGCCGGGGGGATGGGGGGGCAGCTTCCCCGCTCGCTCCCTCCCAGAAAGTCCTAAGCGCTGGGAAGGAGGGAGGAGGAAGGGAGGGGGAGGAGACGGAGAAGAGGAACTTGTGCAATGCTCCCTTGTAAAGTCAGCCAAACGACATTATAAGGGAGCATTGCACAGCTTTAAACGAGTATGTCCCCTAACGGAGCAGCGACGTAACTTCGAAACAACGTTAAGTGGGAGGACTTTAAGTGAGGAGTTACTGTACCTCAGATCTCAAACCACAGACAATACTTGTAGCCAATCCTGTAATACTAACTAAAGATTTATTAACTAGGGAAAAGAACTGAGAGTTATTCACTAGGTGAAAGCAGGTAACAGATGCACACAAGTGAGGTACAGTCAGGTTCCAAAAGGCAGTAGAAGCTGCTGTAATGTGCAAGTTCTATACCAGGGTTCTCAAACTGGGGGCCATAAACCCTCAAGGGGTTGCAAGCTTATTACCTGGGGGGGTTGGAAGCTGTCAGCCTCCACCCCAAACCCCGCTTTGCCTCCAGCATTTCTAATAGTTTTAAATAATAAAAAAAATGTTTTTAATTTATAAGGGGGGGGGAGGGTCACACTGATAGGCTTGCTGTGTGAAAGGGGTCACCAATACAAAAGTTTGAGAACCACTGGTCTATACGACCTTTAGGGCTAACCCAGGCTAAGCTGCTTGGGGATCCCTTACTTATGCTTAGAAATCTTGCCCTTCCCGAATGCCAAGCTCCACAGTGATACAGATCTTTCTGGTCAAGCGTTATTTCCTTCCCCCAGAGTTCAAACTGATGGAACGAGTGTCGGTCGGCGCTTGGCTCCCCTTCATGGGTGTGGCGGGGGAGGGGGTGTGGAATCAAAGAAGTCTTTGTCCTTTGATGTTTCACAATGGCTTGGTTTCAATGGGCAGACCCAGCACTTTACAATAATTAATGCTGCTTTCCCCTTTGGTGAGTTATGCAATAAGAGGTTTACAATGCAAACGCTTGATGTAACTCCAGTGATAAGGGAGATCAGCATCCTACAAGAATTTCAGCATTTCTAAACACCAAACACATTCTCATCAACTTCACATCTCTTCTAACAGTGCGAACACACTGGTGAGCCAGCCTGGTTCCCAACTCTGCATTTGTCAGTGTTCAGTGAGGCCTGGGGGCCTTGGCATGAGCTGGCACCTGCTCTGCCAACGTCACAGGGCCTTGCTGCTTCCTCGGCCTATGACCTCCGCAAGGAGGGACTCAGCGTGAATGGCACTGTGGCGCACTGGAGTCCCATTCCCCATTCCCCCTCTGTCCTCTCCCCATGGGGTGTGGGAGCCTTCTCTGCAGCTCCTACCAAATGGATCCAAGGGCTGCTGCCCCCAAGTGCCCTGCCCCGAGCACCCCACCCCTTCCCTCTGTGCCTTATTAGCCCATTGCAGCGCCCTCGCCAGGGGCCAGATGAGACTTCTTCCCTGTGCGCCCCCCTCCCCCCCCCAGGGCTGCATGGCTGTTGGGCAGGTGGGATGGCAGGCCCACACCCCGCCCCGAGCCAGGTGCATATCCAGGGTGCTGGGAGTCAGGACTAGGGAACATAGGGAGGGGTTGGTTCCCATGGAGCTGGGGGAATTTTATGCTGGGCTGTGGCTCTGCTGACGTTAGTGGGGTGCTCCTGAGAGTTCAGGCTCAGCTGGAGCTGTAGGCTGTCCCCCAGGTCTCCTGGCAGCCTATCTGTGGGTGCTCACCTTGGGGGCAGGCCCTGCCCCTCACCCTGGTGCCGGAGCTGACGTTCCTCTCTATCCTCCGCCCCCCTTTCCCTCCAACAGGACGTCAGCCTTCACTTCGTGCTGTGGGGCTGCCTACACATCTACCAGCGCATGATCGACAAGGCGGAGGATGTGTGCCTCTTCCTGACGCAGCCCGGCGAGATGGTGGGCCAGCTGGCTGTGCTGACCGGGGAGCCTCTCATTTTCACCGTTAAGGCCAACCGTGACTGCACCTTCCTCAAGATCTCCAAGTCGGACTTCTACGAGTTGGTGTCCCCCTTCTCCTCCTCATCCTGCGGGCAGGCTCTGCCCACCTCCCACCCCACTTCCATCTAGACTAGTGGCCCTGCCCTGGGCCAGATTGGGCCAGTGCCCCCTAGAGGGGAAAGGCACCATGTCCCATTCCCTATCCCCATAAACCAGCCAATCCCCTGCCCTGGGGCTGGATTGGAGAAGCCGCCCCCTAGAGGGGAAAGGCCCCATGTCCTAGGCCTCTAATCGTGCACCTGTTGCATGGGCCTGGATTCTCCTGCCCTGGGCTGTGATCTGTCCTGGTGCCATGTTTTCTTGGCTGGCTCTGTTCCAGA